TAACAGCCTCGCCTCGGGGAACATTGAAGTCTCGGGGAAACAAAACTCACTGTTTCCCTCGAAGCCAGTCATGAAGTGCTTATTGATTTTGGAATGGTATATAGCCACGGTCGATAAAATGACTGCAAAGCCGTCGGCAAAAATAATATTCAAATTACGCTTTAGTGTGAACAATTATTGAAAAATTAACTTGAACACCGCATGTTTTGAAATTTTTGACCTTTTCCGGCTAGTGTATGTATTTCTATGCTCTATCTTGATAGATAGTCATTCTTAAACGAATTTTCGGTAACATTTCTTTCATTGGGCTATCTTGGGTTGGCAATAGTTCTTTTCACGGTTAACTTTTCTCATTTGCATTACAATAAAACGAAAGTTTGATTTCGAACGGTTTTTTGTCGCTTTCGGACGGTCAGAAGGAATGAGAGGAATGCAGGAAATTAAACATGTTAAAATGTATCCAACAATACAAATCAGTATCGTAAGATATCTGAAGTACTTTCAGAGTCAGTTAGGCGTTAACTTGGATAATAGAACAATATGGTTTGCAATTTGTGGGAACGTTGAAGGTGAGGACTTATGCGCATAAAATAAAACACCAGTGTTCTTTTCTAGCGGAGCTCCGGCGGCCAGAAGGGCCGCCAAGCGGAGCCCCATACTCATATAGGAAAGAAAAGGAAATCCATAAGTTGATTTTCTCATGGTTATCATGACTAACGGTATTGCTCGTGGGCGTGTAAGCACGACAACGACGGCGTCGGCGACGGCGACGGCGACGGGTACGACGGAGTCGCGCAACATGGCGGTTATACTCCAAATAATAGGTTAACAAAGACATGCAGCCTTGGTTTACCGTGTACTTCTTTGATATTGGACATCCATGCTACGATCAATTGACACAAGTCAAAACAAGGTATCCGCTGACCAGTGTCACGTGACCATATCGCGGGCTCAAGTTTACGTGTTTTTTGAAGTTGACCGCTGATCAAGTGTTGGTTTTCGATTGGATCACGGCCTCATGTTAGGCTAACTTGTTGAAAACAGGGCAGGATTGTTCGGAAGCCGGTTAACGCTAACCCAGGATTAAAAATTAACCGAATTATAACGTTTTCCTCTCTACAATTTTTTTTTGCTGCTTTGTTTTGTGTATATGGTGATTATTAAAACTCAAAACAGAAGGTCAAACAATATACAAAAAACCTCACCGCAAAGTTAAAAAACTTAAATCAAAATTCTACCTTTTCCTGGCTTAGCTTAATCGGGCTCTGAACAACCCGGCCTAGGAGCTACGCTTTTAGGCGGGCCTAAATGTATTTATTAGATCTTTTTTGGAACTGATTCAAACGTGGTTTACACTACATTATTACAAGAGAAACCTCTTACCTGGGTCGAGATTCATCTTCATTTGCTTTGTATACAGTTGGTATTCTGCGACCATTAGCAATACTCCAGTTGTTAAAAGAGCCAAAGGCAATGTTTGTTTCTTCGACTTCATCGTCACCTGCGATGATGATTCGACCTGGCCAAAATGAAATATTTTTTCACTGTCTTTTTTTAGCAGATCGATTAGAGAGAAGACTGGGGGCTTTAGTGAAGTGAGAAATATAGCTCTTTTCACGGTTGGTTTTTCTCATTTGCTTTACAAACAATGTAATTCAACGTAGATGCGACGCAATTTCGGGCTAAAACTACAAAATAGCCCGAATTTGCCTCACATGCTAAATTTTATGCAAATGAGCAAAGTTGACTGTTAAAAAGGGCCATTACAACCGGTAAACGATCGATCAGCCAATCACGTCATTCTTCACACATTCCTGAAAATGTCACGTGGCTTTCAACAAGATTATCAACGGTAACACGGAGAAGCTACCTCCGATTTTTTTTTCTTTCGGGAAAGGCGGCTGTAATGTAACACAAGTTAGCTCAAGTTCTCGGCGGGGTTGTTTGTGAGAAGAAAAACGTGCGTGACAATTTTTCACTAATTTCCAGCGCTCAGTATGTTCTGTGATCAGGCCGCTGAGCAGAAATTGTTGAAACTCTGCAACTATGTTGATTCCAATCGAAGCTTTCCATAAGTACTGACCTAGATGCTGATTATAAATTCTTACATCTGATAGGTATCATGTAGCACTTCAGCGAACTAAAGTTATTGCGGCATGTTATTTGTAAACAGGCTAAATTGACTTAAATATATTACAATATGTTAATCTATCAAAGGCACGGAAGAGTTTTGAGGAGTGATTATTAAAAAAAATAAATGCATTCATATAGGGCCATACTCCATTAATTGTCCGTAGCGCTTTACAATACCATAACTCTTAATTAATGTAAAAAACTACAATACAATTTAGGCTAATGATAAAAAAATATAAATCAAAAGAATTAGCAAGCAGATATGTCTTAAGCTTAGTTTTAAATGGTAACTGACGATGATAACCTGATGTTCAATGGTAACTTATTCCACAATTTTGGAGCAGCAACGGAGTATGCCCTATCACCATGTGTTTTTAAATTAGCCACGGGCTCATCAAGCAAATGTTTGTTTGAAGATCGTAATTTCTTATACTTCAGCAGATCTTTGATGTAGCTAGGTGCTTGATCGTTTAGAGCCAGTGACGATATTTAAGTCAATAGCAATATTTTGAAAACAATTATAGAGTCAGTAACAGTATTTTAAAAATAATTATATAGCGCACAGGGTGCTGGAGTAAACGCCTAAGAATCGGCCTAATATGATCATGCTTTCTCGACGCGGTGACAAGGCGAGCTGCTGAATTCTGCACAAGTATTAAACCTGGCATTCGTTGAAATGTGATGTGGCTTTCTTTGCACCAAAAGAAAGCCTTCTTCAGGAATAGAAATTCAAGAGAATCGTAACAAGTCATTGTGCTAGCCGAAGAATTTAAATCGGTTTCCTTTTAGAGGCCTCATTTCAGGTCTGTTTAAATTACCGTAATCCATGTTTTTTGTGATTGTTTTAGGGCGCTCGCAAGTTAAGCTAATTCAGGGTTTTTGGTTTTTACAGTTGGAGTGCTCGCAGCTTGGTACCACACAAATGCTCAGTCATTATATTGGTAAACATAACCTCAGCATAACTTGATAAAGAGTGGATCAACACATCAGGGATGGAATGTAATGCTAATTTTTAGCTGAAATCTGACAAAATTGGAGGACTAAAAACTAGCATTGATACAAACCTATAGGCATGATTTAATTGCCTTATTGAATCCATTTTGAAATCACTGGTTATCCTAGCAATCTGATTGGCTCTCAGTGGTGCGTTTTATTTATGAATCGCACTATTGTTTTTACTCTAAACCGCATCTTTTTCTCATCCAATGAGAATGGGACAGTAAAACAACACAACCAGTCAGATTTCAAGGTTAGTTTAAAGTAACCAATGAAATTTCAGGAAAATGAAAGGCATAAAGCCATTGTGTGTCAAATTTTGCAACTATTATTGCCAAAGCTTTGTTGTTATTGTTGTTTTTTTTCCAAAACAACTGACGAATTTAATTAATTACAGTTTCTGAATGACGATTATGAGCTCTTTCAGGCTGAAGACCTTCTTTAATGGAAGTTTCCAACTTTCAGTGTCCATTTTGACGAATATCTTGGGGATTTTTCTTCAACATCTACTCAAGATCCGTATGATACCGAGTCCAGAAAAACATAAACAAACGAAAACCACACAACAACAAATTCAGAACCATCTCAAGAAGCTAGATGTTTCCAGGTTTCCGGTAGTTTCAAACGAAGCAACACAAGAACTTAACTCTGTCGCTGTGAATAAACATAGTCAAAATACGCCCCCCTCCACAAAACAGTGAATGAACGAACGTCTTCCGAAGCTGGTGCCAGTCCCGCCATCTTGAGAATATCTTGAAACAAATGGCTCCGCAAGATCTTGACAAAGTCTTGAGTATTAAGTTCTACGACGAGTTCACAAAAAGAAACGGAGATGATAACGAGCTGGAATCCCTTAAAATCACGCAGAGTGCCACTGAACGGTATTTAAAAGAAAAAAAATCTATCCACCGGGCATCGTGCACTCGAGGGAGTGTCACAACTCAAAAGAAATCCATCGCAGAACTACACAGGACGCACCTTGAAATTCCTTCTCCAAACAGACGAAAAGTCTCGGCCTCAATCACAGAAGAAAGAAAGGCCTTCCATCATTGATTCAGGCGACGAGAATTGAACTTTTATGCATGAAGTAGACAGAACTGCTTGTTTCTTTGTTATGCTCGAATGAGTTTTTGTCATATAACATCGTTTTGCATACTAAATGAGACGTAAGGGAGTTTCCGGTCCCGCTATTTTCAACAAACCGGCTAATGAAACAATACACCAAAATCTAAAATTTAAGGCGATAGAATTGTGCGATTTCAAAATGGATCTAATAAAGTAGTACTTGAACTTCGTGTCGTGCAATTTTGGTCTGAAATGATACTTGTACCCAAATCGAACTCGCGTTACGCGCTCGTTTGATTTTGAAATCACGCGTATGATTTCAGACCAAATTGCACTCCACTCAGTTCAATTACTATTATAAATATTGCCAAATGGTCTGGATAGTAGCAGACATGTTGAAATTTTAAGAAACAACACAACGTTTTTTAAAAACAAGTTTCAAGAGAATCTTCTGTCGTATTCAGTTTAAATTGCAAAGTACAGAGTTGAATATATAGTGTGCGCAAAATGCTAATTTAGTGACTATAAGAACAAAACGAAACATGACAATGCAATGTAATATAATATTTTACATTGTCATGTTTCGTTTTGTTCTTATAGTCACTAAATTAGCATTTTGCGCACACTATATATTCAACTCTGTACTTTGTAATTTAAACTGAATATGACAGAAGATTCCGTTGAAACATGTTTTTAAAAGACTTTGTGTTGTTTCTTAAAATTGCATTATAAATTTCCAAAGAAGCGGCTTAATATTATCTACACACCGTTTTTGCAAAAAAAGATTTAATCTCTGAAATCTCAAAATTTTCCACATAAGCTAACGTACCAACTCCGAGTCACGTTTGTAGTGGTTTGAGGTTAAACCGTCTGAAGAGATCTTACAGCCGATTTCACTAACAGTCGTTTCCTAGCAATAGCAGATATGCGACAATAATTTAGTTTCATTTATATTTATATTATATATGCTGAAGTTTGATTCCAGAAATATCGTCTCATGCGAAAAAATCATTTTTGTTATTGACTCTCTTTGTTAGCTAGGAAACAGGAGACATAGAGGCTGCACTGGATCCAACAATTGTAACAAACAAACAAATGTTGTAATACAAAGCCTTGTGTGGTCATGAGGACCGGAGACAGATTCTAGTTCTAATTCTAGAAACCGAAGTGATCTTAAATAAATCTAACGATTAAACCACAAAATAAGTTCACCGTCCCTGGCGGCCGAACATCCTAAGGACACGACAAGAAATACAAAGCGTGTAAACTAACAGAAATAAAGGGAAATTGAAGACATAGACGATGGGAAAAGATAAAAAATGGCTAGCTCCTGGTAAAGTCCACGGCCACACAGAAACGGAAAACTGCACAACATGGTACTTCTAATGCTAGAAATCTCCAAACTGAACCGAAAGATTATAGCAAGATCGCAAGGCCATGGTTAAAACTTACCGATATAAAATGTAAAATAAATCCAAGACGGGTGAGCGAAGCTCTAACACGACAAACAAGCCATACACTGCTTACAGTATGCGCACGCGCGGCCTTGTCGGCCCCCACGGCCTATGCGCGTGCGACGCATATCAGCTCCGGGCCACCTTTGATTGGTAATTTGCAGTAGATAGAGGTTTTACCGTCTGAAGAGATGTAACGACCCAATTAGTAATTAATCTTCGTTTGCTAGCAATGCTAGTAGTCGACAATAATTTAGTTTCATACACTGTTTGGTTAATTTCGATCGTGTGACTACTGAAATACACCATGTTCCTTTGAAATCCTACAGTACAATGAGCGTTAGTTCCATGAGTTAATGTCAACAACTAACACGAAATCGCTTCCTTTAGTGAAAGGATCCACGTTTTTTCGTCAGTTCCATTTTGCCAACACCCAATGCAACAAACTGCAAGTGTGTCACCTCGAAAGCCATTTGTTTATCTCGCGGAAACTGAACAGTGTCTTTCTCCATACTTGGTTTCATCTTCTCAAATTGTCCCGGCCAACAACACATAAACAACACCGTTTGTTTTTGGCCAAAAGAGGAGTTTATTTCCACATCCGAAGACACGAGATAAATCATAGAACATAAAAACTGGGAAATAAACCTCTCTGCCACCTACCCTGTCGCTAAGAAATACAGAAAACAGGTAGGGTTGTTGGGAGAAAAACTACACGAGGTAGAAAAGCGATGCGGAATGCTACGAGAGTGATAGAAACTGAAATACAATACGACATACGCTCAAAATAAGTAACCCTAGTGAATAGGGGTGTGTCTCGTGCGGTTGTCAATTAATCCCTTTGAGCGGAAGGGCCCAAAGGAAACCATTGGTGATCCCCAGACCTGCAACCGAGTGATAGTACTAGGTAACCGAGCAAAGTGCCAAGAAAACAATCAAAGACATGTGAGTTATAATTATTTCTTTGATCCCAACACTGTTTGCTTCTGGACGAAATATACTTTTCTTTGTCGCAATGGATAACGGACTATCATGATTACATATTTCTCAACGACGACACAACTCTCGAATATACGATGGGAAAAGCTAGATATGATCAAACTGTACCATCCTCACTGTTTTTTTTTTTTTTTTTTTTTTTTTTTTT